GGTTTGGGGTTTGGGGTGTGGGGTGTAGGGTTTGGGGTTTAGGGTTCAGGACTGTAGGGTTTGGGATTTGGGGTGTGGGGTGTAGGGTTTGGGGTTTGGGGCTCAGGGAGCAGCAACAGAAGGAGCAATAGCGACGTTGCCAAGTCAGGAGGGAGCTGACAAGTTCCTCGCTGTAAGATAGGGGCCTTAATGCTTAGAATAGGGTTCCTTTAGAGGGTTCCTTAAAGGGGGTTCTGTAAGGGGTCTGGCATACCCTAAACCCTAAACCCAAAACCCTATAGGGTTCTATAATATCTTGTCGCAATGCCGGCTGCAGGTTGGAGGTGACGCCTGAGAATGAGATCGAATCTGAGACTGAGAACTTGCGCCTCATATGGCAAGCCCACTGTGCAAACGCCTGTAAACCATGCATCTTCATTAATCGCAAGGGAGACGGATGCCGCAAGGGGAACTTGTGCTCCCATTGTCATTTCTGCACTCCTGAAGAGTCTAAGCGAAGACGAAATCGGCTATGTTCGGAGCGTCGACAGGCAGCCAAGACAAGTGTCTGACTGCTTCTTGTAAATCTCCGTTCGTTCGGTTGTTTGAAAACGACAGTCGGGTGATTGTCATGGCGCGTTTTTTTTAAGTGGCAGTCGCCCACTCGAAGTGTCGCGACTAGTGCTGAGACTGAGCTTGCTTGCGTCCTTTCCGTTTTACTGCCAGCCGCGGACGGTTCTGTTATTGCAAAGTACCTCAAGAATGCACACATGCATTGCGACTTCCTTGAGAGAGTCGCGGCTGGCTGTAGCACTAGCAGTCCTTTGCCAGATCATGTCCGTAGCGGTCACGGCTTCCCGTCTGCAGCGGTTCACTTTGGCTTTGGAGTGCTGAAGAGTAGCGTAGTTGCAGCAGTAGCAAGTGCAAAAAGCTATAGAGGAGGCAGCCGCCACGTTCGCCGGTATCGTCCTCATGCTAGTTGCGATGGTGGGTCGAGGGTCATGGTGGGCGATGGTGGTAACTCGAGGGAGTTGCAGGAATATTCCCTTTTGCACCGATTCCGGACGCTCATGTCGCAGAGAGTCCCAAAGACAAAATGTCAATGAGAGGTAATGACAATGACAATGCTTGTTTGTATTGGTTGAGGTCACAATAAGCTCGACAATGCTGAATGAAGACTCTGCCTCCAGCCTTAGACGGCCACGAGCTTTCATTAGTACTGCGGATCCTGTCACATTGATATCAACGGCCCCGTAGAAGTCCTTACCAACCCTAAACACCCTTGTCCTTATTAACGGGTTCCCCAAAAATAGACAGATCGGTAGTAGACCTCCTTTAAGTGGTCCCCATTATGGAATATAGCAATAGGACTCTGTCTATTATTTCAAAAAGGACAAGGCTAACCCTAAACCCAAAACCTTGTGTCATGGGCTCCCAATCCTGTCCTGAGTGCGAAGGTCGTGCCAGTTGCAAGTGTTCCCCTTTCCCCTTGCTTTTGTTGCTGTCGCTATTCTAAGTGTTAGGGCCCTTACATTACGCGCTGGTACTCCTCGCAAGCCATAGAGCATACAGTAAGTCCTTGGGGTATAGTACCCTAGACTCAAATGAGGACTAGAGAGGGACCTTCTTGCAAGGAACTTGAGCGACTGATGCCCAACATCACCCTGTTGAGGTTTTGTATGTCTCTGCGGTTCGCTCGCACACTCAACTGCTGGGCTGTGGTAAACTGCTGCTGCTGTTGTTGTTGTTGTTGTGGTTGTCGCGGTTCCCTTTGCGATTTCTTCGTGAGGAGTGTAGTATGGGGCCTGGAAACTTCATGCCGCCTTCCAGACCGGGCTCATTTGCTCACGATTTGCGGTGTACAGAGTACATCGGGCGACCTCTTAGTAGGGTTTAGGGTTTAGGGTTTAGGGTATATCGTGCTCTGTACGTAGGGAGCCAGCTGCAATGGCGAGAAGCAGCAGCAATACTCTCTTGCTCTTCCCGATCGAGGACCGGATTCTTTCAACCCTAAACTCTGGACCCTTGTGGGCACTGGAATGCTCAGGGGGTGCAAGCTGCATTGTACTGCCAGAAACCGTACGGTCTTTGGGAATGTACGAATTGAACTTGTTTGCATCCCAGCACACGGGTGATGTGTTGAGGACATCTAGTGTCGAAAGGTTCCAAGCGACGCCGAAGGACCTTGACCTTGCCGTCTTCGTCAAAAAGACATTTATCGAAGTGGCACCTCTGGTCCAAGGTGCGCTCTGCGGCATTGGCTCAGAACGTTGTCGAACCTGTCTGGGGTCCAACTTGTTTAGAGTTCAGGGCTGCCGGCAGAAACCCTCACTCTCACAGTCTCACACATGAAGGCTTCGCCCTTGGTAGACCAGTTGACACTGAAGGTCCATCCCAACATCGCAGCCGGGGCTCAAGTATAGCGCAATACAGAAAGTTCAGCTGCTTTGGCAGATTGCGGAGTGCTGGGTTGTGAAGGGACCACACCTGATTCCGAAACTTTCAAGGGGGTTCGGGGATCGAGAACCGGTGAGAGTGTACCCCAAACCCCCCCGAAACACATAGACCCCAGCGTCGAGCGCGGCAGGTTCAGAAATCCGTCGATCGCGGTCGGAACCGCAGTTGACGGAAACATTGACGAGGCAAAGGCTGAGGATGCTGTTTAGGGTTTAGGGTTTAGGATTTAGGTCTTGTCGTTTCTTCTTGTACTGCACCAGCTTTTGTCATTGTTGCTACCGCCATCA